GAAGGCTTGGGAGGCCCCGGCAGCTTCGGGGCAGGGGGCTCAGGGGCATTTCGAGTGGGTCTTTCAGTAACATGAACTCCAGTTACTGAGCAAGACTGAGTCATTCCTGTGTATTCATAGAGAGAAATGTTAAGTCACCATGAACTGAAAGCAAGGTAGATCTGCTTGAAACCACTGGCAACAGAAGGCAGAGGCCAGTCAGGCTCTACTTAGACTGAATCCATCCTCCTGTGTCATGTTGTTTACAGGGTCTCTAAGATGGAAACAGAGAGAGATGACAAGCTCTAGGCCCACCTGGTCTCCATAGGAAACCTTTATAAAAAATAACTAGAGACAAAAAGGGTTTTCAGAGAATGCTTCCAAGACCACCACTTCCAGGAACTAAAATGTGACTCTAGTTTATCATCCTGTTTGGAGTGCACATGCACTGAGAGCGAATATTTTGAACTATGACCTTGCCATGTATCATCATTCCGGCCCCACCTCCCTCCATCACACAAAAAGCAATACAAAATGATAATGAAAATACAATCAGTTTTATCCATGCCACATATGGGGTCTGTAATATACAAAAACAAACATTTCTCAGCCCTTTGTGGTGCACAGTCAACCTTGTAAGAGGCCCACTGACATCAATCAGTCCATCAAGAAAGACCTCCAGAGTCACAGCAAAGAACCTACTTGCTTTGTTTGATTTTGTTTTGAAACATCTTTCATTTTCTAAAAGTCTCCTGAAGTTGTTCCGAAGCCCTGGAGGTCAATCTATTGTGAGGATTAATCCATAGTAGGGCACCACACTGTGTTAGCATGACCGTGTGCATCTCTCATTGGCTTTCTTATGTTTAGTTCAAGTGCTGAAGGGCCGAGAGGTTACAGCATGGAAGGTAGGGAGACTGAGGCTCTCAGGCTTTGGAGTAATTTGGGGTGATTTGGTAGAAGCAACTAGAGGGATGGCAAAACCAGAGATCACCATGGAGAGGATGGACAACTAGTGAGATGCCATCACAGTCCCAGTGGGAGATGCTTTGGGTCCCCACAGTGGTGGACAGGTACTATGATGCCATTCCAGCTAGGTGGGGGTGGGGAGACTTCCTCCATTTTGGCAGAGGTTCTTCCCATAAAGGAAATATGGTACCCTATTGTAGTACATTCAGGAAAAAGATGTCTGTCTTCTTGAGTGATGAAAACAATACCAGGAGACCTGAAGGTACTGGTTAAAATGTGTTGGGTTATAAGCCATGAGCTATTTGCCTTTCTATTTTTATTTGTGGCTTCTTGAAACAAAGTATTGCTATGTTTTCCATATAGCTTTATTGGGAGTTTACTATATAGCTCCAGCTGGACTCAAATTTACTACTCTCTTGCCTCAGCCTCCTGGGTGTTTAGATTATGGCATGTACTGCCAAGCCTGTGTCAAAGTCACAGATCACTTGAACAATGACTTCAAAAATGATTTGCCATCACATTTAACTGGAGATCAGCTCCATAGCTGCTTAATGCAGAAACTGATGAAATCAAGTCCCGATGGAGCCTAATGGAATTCTGCTTTCCTCCTCAAGATCACAAAATAGTTGCTGCATCTCCAAGCTGCACATTCATTCAAAATGCCCCAAAGCAGGAAAGAAATGATGTGACTTTTCACTGCACACCACCTACTATTGTGGGATAGGGGTATATATTTCAAAACTAGAGGTAGAAGCGGGTATGTGGGACCGTGAGACTATGGAATGCATGTGGGGAAGGCCTTTCTGTAAAAAAAGGTAGGTAATTGATGAGGGAAGTGCTTCTGTGTATGTGTTTGCCTTAATGGTTGGTAAAGTACTGTTGGCCAATAGGAAAACAAGATAGGTGTGACTAGGAGTCAAGGAGGATTCTGGGAAATGTAGTAGAGATCAAGCAGGAAGTGACAGAGCAGGCAGACTCATATATAAGCAAGGACAAGAAGGAAGTCGTCCCCTCTCTCTCTTCCTCCTGCTCTCAGCTCTGGAGTCACCATGTGATCCCAGGAAGACAGGATGCTTCTGCAGGCATCTGATAAGTTAAGTCTTATAAAATATATAGATTTATGATAATTAAGACGGAGCTAGCAGATGAGAAATCCTAGTCATTGGCCAAGCAGCATTTGTACCTAACATAAGTCTCTGTGTTACTTGGGACCATAACGTGGTGGCAGGCGAAAAGCACTAATGTGGCAGCAGGGCTCAGGCAGCTTGGAGTAAAGACTTATTGTTACAGAAGGTAATTATGAAGACAGGGTCTTAAAAGAAACCCATATAACCAAGAAGTTCTTGTAGTGCGGTTTCTTTAAGGACACTGAAAATCTGCTCCTGTCTAGAAACCATTAGCAACTTCCCTTAGGTCTCATGAACCAACTGGTTGATGTGACTAGAAAATTCCTGCCTGGGGTTAGATTTGCTTCTGAGATGTACTGCACTGCCTTATAAGGAACCACAGTCACAGCATCAAAGAGATGCAGAAGCTGGGGTTAAAAGACAGGGCCTCCAAGCAAAACATCGAAGAAGAGGGCATAGGGCATGGCACATCAGGAGACCAGTAATCCACTCTAGAAAGCCTGGGACAGCCTGAAAAAGTCTCTGCCTGTCCCAACTTTGAGTCCCACTCATCTCCGCACACTCACTCAGTGGAGTCATGCTTCCTTGAATGAAACTGGAAATTAGTATTTTATGTTATATGGTTATGTACATCATATTATATATTACTTTTGTGTGTATCACCCACACTAATTTAAGTTATTAAAAACTGAGAGTCAGCCAGTCAGCAAGGATGTCCAGGTATTTCATGATGTGGACTTAAGAACAAAGAAAACCTCATTTTAAAAAGGGAATCCACACCATGGACAACTACACGAACAGTTTTTAAAATATATAATTAGGGCTGAGGGTGTAGCTCAGCTTGTAAACTGCTTGCCCTATCATGCAAGCCTTGGGTTCCGTCCCCAACACCACATAAACTGGCTTTTGTGGCACACACCAGCAATCCCAGCACACAGAGGTGGAAGCAGGAGGAGACCAGAAGTTCAAGGTCATCCTTGACCATATAGGAAGCTTCAGGCCTGCCTCAGATGCATGGGATCTTGTCTGGAAAGAAAGAAAGGCAGGGGAGGAAGAAAGGGAAGGAGGGAAGGAGGAAGGAAGGGAAAAAAAGAAAAACTTCAAGAGGGAGACTTGAGGTATTAAAGGTAGGTAAAACAGAACATGGTGGTACTTGCCTTTAATCCCAGCACTCCAGAGGCAGATCTCTGTGAGTTTGAAGCCAGCCTGTTCTACAGTGAGTTCCAGGACAACAAGGGCTTTGATAAGGTCTTTTGAGCTTAGCCTCTGTCCAGGAAGGGTATATACTATAGTGTAGTAGAGTCACAGTCCATGTGAGCAGATTGGACAGACTAATAAATACCTAGACTGTTGCATTGATTACTTACTCTAAGACTATTTGCTTTATAGGTTGGTAAGCAATTACCAAGGGAAGGAGGGCTATTTCAAGACTTCAGCTAACTCTTAATAGCTCTAGAAATATTTCAACCAGGGAAGGCAATGAGT